CATCCCAGGCTGGGAAGGAGGTCTCTCTGCAGGGGGTTCCAAGTGAAAATGACATCGCTATGGAGCACCCCATAATGCTCCCTCCTTCATTTTTTCTTAAAAACACAACAGAAAAAAACACCAACTTCTGCCTATTTTGTAGCCCCCAACCTCTGTTGGGAAAGGGTTTTCTACCTCCCTCTTCTCCACGTAAACATCCACCTAGTAATTAGTGAACCGGCATCTCCTCCCCGGCCTGCCCGTACCCGCTGCTGATTCCAGAGGCCTGGGAACCCGCGCTGCCCCCTCTCTCTGAGGGAACCAGGGGTAGGCACACCTGGCCGGGGAGTGACTCGGAGGAGCACAGGATCTGCATCTACAACAGTCTGAGTAGATTGCACACGGATTCATGGGACCGAGCCCCCGCAGCACAAACTCCTTTCTTCCCTCCAGGACTTCCTCTCCGACCTCCTGTCAGTCTCAAAATGGATAGAACAGCCCGAAGCCATTGAACAGAGTTATGTCTGCAATCACCTCTCTAATTCTTGCATCTAGGTGCCCATACATCAAGCAGACCCAGGCAAGGGGGCCACGGGGCAGCTTTATTCAGCACTATGACAAGCAGACGCTTGAATACCAAAGAGCTCATGAGCTTTGCAGCCACAGGAAAAAATAAAATAAAAATAAAAAAAGAGAAAGCCCCCGCACAGATGCCTGCCTCGCGCTCTGGTGGCCCAGCCGGGTGCACGAGGAGACGGCTCACAGGAGGTTATTCAGCAGTTCCCAGCATAAACCCCAAGGTAACAAGTATGGACGGAGCAGATGTCGGGAGACCGAGCGCTATTTTGGAAAACTGCCGAGAGATTTAGAAACAGGGCTTTCTTCTGAACCGAAGCCTAATGCCGAAAGGCCTTTAAAATACAACTTCCCAGATGCCACCTGCGTCGGATGAATGCCAGTGCGGCCACCGATACTGGAAGTGCTTGGACTGATTGTTCCGGCACAAACAAATCACAAACCCATTTCTGTATTCCTGCAGCTGCACCCCGGCCAGGTGAGGAGCCGGACCGAGTCACAGTTGCCTCCCGTTGTCTCATTCCCGGCAGATTTTGGCGTTTAACTGTAATTAAGATTTATTGTTCACTGGCTCCGCAGGTCAGGGCAAGCATGACAATATGGGCGACTTTTCTGTTTGCTGGTAACATGTCTGGTAGGAGGAAGTCTCGAAGCTTTCAAGCAGAGCTCGACAGACATGAATAGCACGTCTTCACTGCAGGACCCGCGCGTTCCCGATTCTAATCAGAGGCCAGGGGTCTCGTGAAGGGAGGGCAGGGAGAAAGCGGAAAGACCCAGTGAACTGTGCTGTTGCTTTTGCATCCGAAGGGTACGGGCTGGAAGCCAAATCCGTTATTGCCCATCTTCTGGGTTTGGGGACGGGATTGTCTGCTTGGTGTGGGAGGCAACCTGAGACCTTGGTGCTGACAGAGGTTCTGCAGAGACGGGGACCTGCGGGTCTTCGTGGCCCCCCTTGCAAATCGGAGGAGAATCATCCTTCATCTCTCTCCCCGCTCAAGGATGCCCTTGGACCGAGTCAGGTGGCCGGGGAAGGAGGGAGGCGGGGCTCCGCCGTCAGCGGCCACTCACCTGCTTTTACAGGCTGTCTGCCCAGGTCCCGCGCAGGTGACCCCCGACACAGTGGGTGTGAAGGAACAAACGGTCCGCGAGCAGACAGATGAAAAGGGCGGCTCGTCCCCGCTGCTTTATTAGAAGGCAGAAATGCGGAAGCATAATGTCCTTCAATTTCCTGGCATCTATAATTTATTATATATTATTGTTTGCCCTCCGTGGGGTGTTTCTGTCAGTGCCTGGATAAAATAGGAAAGCATTACTCACACGGCCCAGAGATGTGGACTCTGAGCTTGTCTGTCTCTCTCATTCCCTTACAGAGGAGGGGAAAGGAAAAAAAAAATGACCCCTTGGCTCTGCTGTTGTCGACTAGAGAATGCAATTTTATAGAATACTATGAGCAGATCTTTGTATCTCACCCTCAACTGGATAGCATTCAGATGGTGGCTTACAAAAACCCATGCCACACTCAGGAAAACGTGGAGGACAAGCGAGTGAGGAAGCCGTGTGATGCCTGGCACGCTCCTGTTTCGTGCTGTTGTTATTTGAGCTACTAGTTCAGGGGGCTTGGGGGTGGGGAGGGGGGCTTCTGTCCTGCCCTCACCCAGTACTTCCCTGGTTGCCTGAAATCGAGAACATTTGTTTTTCTCTTTCCCTGAGAAGCATTTTGGAGACTCTAGGACGAATAAAGGGGCTTTTGTTTTGACGTTCAGAGAAGGCTATAAAAGCAAGCGTCTCTCCCAAAGGCATAAGGAGGGAAATGGGTGTGAAATTAATTTTAATGGTGGATAGAAACAAAATCTGAAAGAAAGGTTTAAAAGAAAGCTTCCCACCTATTTGACCAATGAAAGGTGTTTTTAGTCCTAGGGACCAGATTTCGAGTTTTGGGGCATCCAGTTCAACTAAAGTGATGCTGAGCCACGGAAGAGGAAAATGTAACTGTGGGAGGGTTGATTCTATTAACTGGATTCAGTTGTCCGGGGTGTTGTTACCCACTGACAGGAAGGCCACTGCTCCGTTCCACAAAACTCACTACTGCCAGGTTACATCAACATATAAATCCCATGGACACTTGAGACAGGCTCAGACAGGTTCAAGTACGTCTCGCAGGGAGCGCACTTGACCCTACATGGGAGCCCAGTTTACGGAGCCCGGGAACTTTGATCCTTGGCGATGCCCTGCAAGGTAATCTCAGGAGAGCCTCCAACAGTCACTCCCAGCTCCCCGCCCTGCTGATCCAAGTGAAACACATGTATAAGCTCCGGCCTCAGCCCCATGGACGCAGCGGGGCGCAGGAAAGGACGCTGCAGCCATGAGTGGACAGGACGTCACTGAGCCCCCTGCTGTCTGGTGCAGACAATGGAGGGAGGAGAGGGAGCCGCGGTGGCTCCGAACAGGTGGGAGCTGGAGGACAAGCACTTGCTCAGCTGGGGAGGGCTCTATGCAGGCAGCGGATCGCAGGAGCCGGTGAATGATCACAGGAGACAGCTCCTACGAGCTGGGATGCGGCAGGATTCCAGGCACAGGGACGCCTGCCCGGGAACCAAGGCAATCTGGAAGGCGGGAGTGGGGTGGGTCGCTGAAGGGGCAGTGGGAAAAAGGCCAAGGGAAGGACAGGAGGGCCTGGCTGCAGATCGGCAGAGCTACATGGAGTTCCAGGGCGCTTAGGATTCTTGTCCACTCGAACACAGTCATTTGTTCTCCAGCTCTGCTAAAACCGTAATTCCTTTGTCACAGTCCTTGGCATTTCAGCTTTGTTTTTTTAAGAGTAATATTGCACCCATATCAGTCACCATATTCGTAATGGAATGTTAAAACGTGAGAGATGACTCATCAAACGCTGCCTATAATAAAAACGAGTGGATCAAAACACAGGGGGGAAAACCCATTGTTTGAAAACTTTATTTAAAAAAATATTTTTATTGATTTCAGAGAGGAAGGGAGAGAAAGAGAGAGATAGAAACATCAATGATGAGAGGGAATCATTGATTGGCTGCCTCTTGCACATCCCCTACTGGGGATTGAGCCCAAAACCCAGGCATGTGCCCTTGACCGGAATCGAACCTGGGACCCTGCAGTCCACAGGCTGATGCTCTATCCACTGAGCCAAACCAGCTAGGGCTGTTTGACAATTTTAAAAGTGTTTCTTTTAAAATGTGTTTTTTAAAAATTATTTTTTACTTTTCAATTACAGTTGGCATTCCACATTAGTTTCAGGGGTACAGCATAGTGATTAGACATTAATATAACATATGAAGTGATCTCTCTGATAAGTCTAGTACCCACCTGCCCCAAATGTAATTTTTAAATTGGAGAAGAGGGGACCACGGAATAATGATTATTTCCTGAGATAGTAAGAACTGTGAATTTCCTTTCACCAGGAGGAGTATACCTTTAAGGAATACACAGAGATGTCAGAGGTTTCAGGTGCTTTGAATCGATAGTGCTGAACTATTCTGTAAAATTGCAGCAGGAATACTTATGTCTACCAGTGGTTTCTGAGAGACTGACTATTTCTCACAACCCTCTCTCCAGAATGGAAGTGATCAGCACTTATATATCATAGGCCAAGAACTGATATTTTGTTTTATGTGGACCTTCTCTGATTGGGAGGATGAGTACTTATATCAATCTAAACCCTCATCTAAATGGATATCTACCTATACCTATACCTAGTCTATTGTGACCACTTGAATCTCTTCTGTGAATTTCCTGTTCAAATGCTTTGCCCATTTTTCTACTTGACTCTCTGTCATTTATTATTTTGCAGTTCTTTGTATCTGAGCCATATACCATTAGTACAGAAGAGTAGCATTCAGTAGCATTAATTTCCTTAATTTCCCAATGTAAAAGTCTAAAAAGTCATTTGATATTTTTGTTTATATTTATTTGCTTATCAATGAAGTCGAGTATTTTTTTTTCATAGGTTTGCTAGAAACTCATGTTTCTTCTGCAAATAGCCCCTTGCCCATCGTTTAGGGAGGTGCTGATGGTGATTTTCTTACTAGTTGTAAGAGCTCTTTACAGGCTATGAACTAGGGTCTCTTATCTGTGGTGAATAATGTGTCATGCTTGGTTTGCAGGGGGATTTCCGGCTCTGTGGACAGGATTTGGAGAAGGTACGTGTTTCAGCTTTGGCTTGTATTCTCCTCAGATTTGGAAGTCAAACATAACTCACCATCCTGAAGATTCACTTCCTTTGGGAAAGCATCCAGCCTGGTCTACACAAGAAATGACATCTCTTCTTGTAATAGGGCTTGGACCACGTACCATAGTAACCCTGGCCTTATTGTGCGCCAGGTGCATTTGCTTGACTTTGTTACTATTGAGCTAATGAATTAAAATGCCTCTGCTTTCTCCCCTGTCCACAGGGGCTGGGGCCTACGGTGGGGGTGGGCAGGGAACAGGGATCTGAAAGCAGACAGCAGAATGACCAAGCTGTAGGAAAGGCAGGGAGGAGACTTGAACGTGGCCTCAGTGCTCCCTATGTCTCCGCTCCTCGCTGTCTCCTGCCTTCATCTAATGCCCTCCCTTGGGAGGTAGGCTGGCCTTCGTCACGTGGCAGAAAATGTCTTGCACCATCAGTCCTGGAGAGAGGCAGCCTCAGTTCTCCTTTAATGCCATTCGGCAGCCGGCGCTCTCTTGAGGGCCCCGTTTGGGTCAGAGGTAGGGTTGTCAGGTAAAACACAGGGTGCCCGATACATTAGAATTTTCAGAGAAACAACTCATCATTCTTCGTT